AGACCCCTGGGAGGATCTAAAAAATAGATCCCCTATATAGACCCATTATAACCCCTATATAATCCTTATATAATTCCCCTTATGGTTCTAGGGGATCTAATTTTTAGATCCTTTTGGGGGTTTGGGTGGTAGTTTCCAAAAACGGGGGGACCACTGTATAGACCTTAGTGAATATTCGTCCTTATTAAAGGGACCACCAAAAAGGTGCCCCAAATTATGGGAAGCCCTAATCCCTGTATATCCCCCTATATCCCCTTGAAAGGTACCCCTAATATTGGAAAATCACCACATATCTCGGGGCACATCCCTCACCAGGGGGCACGTTGGGCTTGAACTTGTTTGAGGGAACCGACTGCCTACAAAGAGATGCAACAGGCTTCAAGGCTAAAGGGTTTGGGAGTTCAGGGTTTAGAGGTATAGGGTTAACGACTTTAGGTTTTCTTCGCACGTCGTAAACTGGAGCATGCTGAGAGAAAAGGACCCGCTGCACATTTGCAGCCTCCCTGTGGCACCTACTAGTACACCCCATCCCACCATGCCCTGATGAAGAATGTGTATCTAAACCCTAAACCCTAGATTTTTTTGGGGAAGAAGATAACTTTGGTGGGTTGGGTTGTTGAGAGCTATCGACGGAAGAAATCTCGCACTACGTGGAACCATTAAGCACTGCCATTTCTAGAATGCAAGATATATACCGCCAAGCCCTACGCCCTAAACCTTGAGATGTACAGGAAGTCCTCCATCGATAGTATTGCTTGGTACCTTCAGGCTTGTGCATTATCCCTATGAGCTCGAAACAACTCTGTAACGGGTAGCCTTGTTCCGGGTAGTAGGATAGTAGCCTATGAACCTGGCAAGCCAGCTGCCGCCTCACAAAAGTTAAAACCCTCGAACCCCTAAATCCTCGATCTTCAGCGGCAGCTCAAGTCCTTAACTGGGGTTGAGGGTTTGGGCTTTCCCAGAGGGTCCAAGTACCCAATGATTAGGTACTTGGGTTTTGGGTAATAGTAATTATAGTACAGGTTTGGAGTAAGTATATGATTATTAGGGACTTGGACCCTTAGGGTTTATGGTTTAGAGTCTAGTTATGCGCGATGACGCAAGGTATCGGCACTTGGACTGGCTTCGCGCGCGCTTGCAACTGAGCCTCTCGTGCACGAATGCCTGGCAAAGAATCCCTCTGTACCTGGGCCACACTAGAAACGTCGATATTTTGGGACAGCGGACCGATGCAAACCCAAACAACTCCTGATACATGAACGTAAAGGGACCAGGTACCTGTGTAGTCTTAGTATATAGTTGCTTCCCTGAGGGGTTCCAGAGTGCATAAAAACATGAACCCTGTCAGGGATTTTCAGGTTGTTTTTGACATCAGTGTCGAGATCCAAGATAGGTACGGGTGCTGGTGATCCAGGCGGCAATGAGCACGGCCAAATGCAGATCTCATGGGGAACAGTTCCCAAGAATCTCTCGTGACCGTCTGAGATCCAAATTAGTCACTAAGCGTGCCATTGAGGGATCATTCAAATAGACCTAAATTCGTTATGACAATAATACCAGCAACAAGAATGATAACAATAATAATGACAATCACAATAAATATATAATAATCCTTATACTATGGGGACTCCCAGAATTTGGAAAAGCCCCATGTTAGATCGATGCCCATAGCTTTACTTCTGGTGAGGATAGGGTCTGCGACTTTTTGGGCTTAGTGTCAGGGTCGGCGCACATAACACACTCGGATATGTAGGGGACTACTATAGGGATTGTTAAGGGGGATACTAGGAGTCTAGACTATGGCTCACCTGGATTGCCCCCTCAAATGCCGTATCTACATCTACCCGAGGATTAGAATCAGAGCCCCGCTGAATCAGTGGGGCTCTGACTCTAACTGATACTCCACCTCAGAGGCAGTACCTACTTGAAACTGGACTGACAACAGTCTGCAAGGCACCTAAACCCAAAACCCTAAACCCTAATGCCCTAAACCCAAAACCCCAAACCCAAAGGCCCAAAGCCAATGCCCAAAACCCAAACCCCAAACCTTAATGCCCAAACCCCTAAACCCAAAACCCTAATACCCTAAACCCAGCATCTAAACCCAAAACCCTAAGCTGAGGCCGCCCATTTTAAGCCCCACTCTCGCGATCTCAACAGCAAAGTTGAGGTTTTGGGGAATTAAATATAGGGATAACGGGACACATAATGGAAACTATTACGTAGGGTTTAGGGGTTGAGGTTTAGAGTTGAGAGTTTGTGCAGCAAGAATTTAGGGCCTGTTTGTTCCTAAAACTTTAGAAAAGGGATACCCCTGAAGAATATGGATAATTTGACACAGCCTGGTAGTAGAAAACATGCTCACCAAGCAATATCCTACAGCCTCTTGTGATATGACTATTGAAAGGAGTAGCGTTGCGTGATTTACCCTGCTAGTTAAAAGAGTGATGGGATGCCGGTCATTATGGGTTTGTTTGGGGATTAGCTTTTGTATAGCATAAACCCTAAACGCCAAGCCACCCTACACGCTACGCCTTAAACTCTGAAACTGAAACCACAGACCCCAGACCTCAGGCCTTCTATCGCTCAACAACCCTAAACTCCTGGAACCCCAAGTCCTACATAAAGGTAATAATCGACAACAATTGCAATAGTGAAAAAAAGTGAGAATAGTACTACAGACGCCAAGCCTGAACATTGCACCCGTTAACCTTACAGAAGAGCCGACCCCCCTAAACCCTAAACCCTAAACCCTAAACCTCCCAGGTTAAGCAGTTCGAGACACCTTGGACCATCTGTGATCTTGAAGACGTGATTACGGGTCGCCCTGGAAGAGTGGCCTGGCGCTCTTAGGGTTTAGGGGTTTAGGGTTTAGGGTTTAGGGCTTAGGGGTTTAGGGTTTAGGGCGTCTTGCTGCGCGGCGGCTGGTGGTAACATGTAGAAACGGCGCCCCGACACACCCAGGGGTGTGGGGGGGCGGCATGTCTTGCGACGGCACATCTCTTGTGCCCACCGAACCAAGAATTGGTGTGTTGGTTTAGTCTTCCCACCCCCTGCTTACGCAGGCATCCGCCCAACTTGATTCCTTTTCGGGTTTCGGGCTGACGCCCTACATTCACACTCTTCTTTCATTTCTTAAATAAAACAACGGGCCCGCCACAGATGGGCCTTCCGGGGGCCTTCGGACTCCAGGGGCCTCCAGGAGCCTCCAAGTTCCAAAGAACCCTTGCCTGGCACACCCTGAAATATCAGCATTTCCAGGCCACCTCCAGGGGAGGCCTGGCCACCCAGAGCGACGGCCCCAAGCGCAGAAGGCCAAGGTTGCTGACAGAAAAGGAGAAGGGCCTAGGCGGGGCTCCTGCCCCAGCATCACGCTCTAAATCACTCTTTAGGCTTGCATAGTACGTCCAAGCAATGATGTGAATAGCTGCCGGATGTAGTTCTGGGTCCAGGCACCCTAGAAAAGGGTGGGTACGGCCTAAGCAGGCCTGG